TAGTACAACTTTAGTACGCGGAGTATCTGGGGAGCTGGAAGATGAGAACTGGCGACTTTGTAGTACAACTTTAGTACGCGGAGTAGCTGGGGAGCTGGAAGATGAGAACTGGCGACTTTCTAGTACAACTTTAGTACGCGGAGCAAGCCGTGGAGCTGGAAGCTGAGAACTGGCGACTTTGTAGTACAACTTCTGAGTCATCTCTATTCTGTATTCTGCAAAATGCATGAACAACTTTTTTCCTGCGAGACAGTTGACGGTGGTTGCTTCGCTTTCGCTCCATTGGTCGGGCGTCGCGCTTGTTTTGTCAAAGAACATCGCAGCTCGGCGAATCAGCCTGGCACATGCCCATTTCCTATAGGTTATTCGTTTGGAAACTTCCGCCGCCGGCTTGCCCCGGAACTACTTGTATATATATATATAAATAGTTGTTGCAAACAATCGCCAAAGAAGAGTGAACCTTCACACAACCTCCAGCGCCTTCACGATCCCAGCACGCCAGCGCGCCAGCACCAATTCCACTGTTGCCCCCCTCGGTGTCTGCCTCCACGCCACCACCGACCTCCCGGTCTTCCTCTCCCACCGAGAGGCCCAAGAGCGTGGTCATTGGCACGGACAGTGTGGCAATGGTTTGGCCCGTAATCAGACTCATATTCACCTCCTCGGCGGCGGACGACGCGATGACGTGAACGTTCAATCCCGGACGACGGAGAAGCAGAGACGCGAATGCGAGCGGTCGCTGCCGAGCGGTCGCTCCGTCAGAAAGCTCGGCGAGCGGTTGATCTGGGGTCAGAAGGCGACGTGCAGGGCCTAAAGCGGAAGTGGATCGAACAAAATAGAATAAGATATATGTATATTATATATCATTAAAAACAAAAGCTCTTTTGGGGGGGGAAGCTTCAGGACCCCAAGTCATTTGCATGCCGAATCCACTGTCTAGAATCTAGAACATTCGACTGAAGGCGTTCAGGCCGGGCCAATCTGTTGAAGCCACCTGGATGGAGTCCAAATGAGACAGGATGGCAGAAACAGAAAAACATCCGATTGAAAGGTCAACCGGCCGCTGGCCCTTCGCCTGGTGGTTTTGTCCACGAGTATTGGATGAGTCAGTCCTCTTCTCAGTCCTCCTCATTAGTCAGGTATCGGCCCCGATCGTCCGTCTGAAATGCGGAGAACATCTGAGCGTGTTTTATCTGGTTCAGTTTGCTTTGTTTTTCCTGATTCTTTCCAATGTTCCCACCTCGAATCCTAGATTGCCAACTTGTCCAGAAGAAAAACGACAGGTTCGCAATCCTTTCATCTACTTTCATCATTCAAGATTTGAGGAGCACGAAAACTTACTTGACATACTGCCGGAAAATTCCATCAAAATCAAGTTTCAACCTCTGATTTCACCAATGGCCAAGGATCCACCAACTCGCTCATGAGCAGCGCCCAGCCAACACGCCAACACTGCACCGGCCAGAAGCTTTGCAAGTCCGGTGTCCGATCGCCCCTGTCAATCTTTTGAAGATAAGCTGTTGGTTTGTAGGTTCTCCGATGGTTGTTTCTCTGTGGTGAAACACTTTAAGTAGCTGGACCTTTGCTAAGCGGCACCGCAGTTGCCCACTGTAAGTCCATCATGGCTTGTGACAACATGTAATGTATCATCCCCCTACGTTGTCCCGGTGAAGCGGGGGGGCACCTAGATTTTATAAGGAATCCTTGTCAAGCGCAAGTCTGGACATTTCTTTTTTCCTGTCTTGGACTGCCAAAAAGATCTAAATTTTTCCTGGGGCTTAGACAAAATCAGGATGGTATGAAAACAATATTGTCCCTAAGAACACCCCAGGTTAAACAAGGACTTCTTATATTTTCCTGGGGGATCTAGCCGTGCATGCGGGGGAAGCCCCAAAACAATTTTTTACCAAACTAAAAGGAAGGAAGTTAGGGCAAGAATCCCCAACACCGGCCGCCGGCAAGCAGGGCTTTTGTTTTCTCAAACTGGGGTTTGGCCAAAAGAGCCCTGGACCAATTCACTGGCCCTCCAAGGGCCTCAACATCAGCCTGCCGCTGACAAACGACACCCGAAGCCAGATTTCACCCCTGACAAACGACACCCCCACCTAGGTGGGAGCCAAAACTTAACCATGCAAGATCAAACCTGGGGACAGCACCCCGCCACGTGGCCAAGCACTGAAGAAAAAACATAGTTAAAAGAATTCTCAATGGGGGACGAACTCCTGCCGTCACCTCAACCCCCCTTTTGGCACTCAAGATCCCCTAACTTGCCCTGGGGGCAATATCCTTGGGCAGCATCAGTGACCCTGCGGCAGAAGGGCCGTTGCGAACAAACAGTGTCCGAGGACATCTGTCTGCACAGCCACCAACATGGCGGGTATTTGAGCCACAGTCTCCCAGGATCTTGTTCTTAAATCCTGTCACTGAGACACACAAAAACTCTTTTAAAATCCTGGCACATCCTTGCACGGTATTCTTTATAAAATCCCGCTTACATCTGTGAGAAAAGTTGCTTGCTCTCTATTTTTTCCTGGTGGTGACAATGGACCTGCTCCAGAATCCAGCTTCATAAATTTATATAACAGGTGGTCCCCCTACAGCAAAAAATATAGCGAGTACAGATGAGGATATGTATCTGAGGCCAAGGATTACCTAAAGACTAAAGACTGTTAATTAGAGCAAAATGTCAATCACTGGATCTTTTTGCGGAGTTTGAGCCAATCTGCAGCACCACCATGCACCGCCATGCACTGCCATGCACATTCCGGCAGTTGTACCAACTCCGAAGCACAACAACTCAACGCACGTGAGCCTTTCGGAAAACTCAGAAAAGAAATGCTGCAGGCGGAGAATGCCTCAAAACCAAGAAGGCCTTTTGGGATTTACACACTCCGACACATCGTCCTTGAGACCCAGTTTCGAGGCCAAATCCTCGGATTCTCGGCTTTTGGGACTTCCGAGGCATGTCAGGAAGAAGGTCCATGGTTTGGGCTTGGGCGCCAAGTTATCGCCACCCGTGCGAAAATGGCCGCAGTCCGGCTTGGTCCGGCTCAAGTGCGTTTTCACCAGACATCAGAAGCAACTCAGCCTAACTATTGCTGAGGTCCCCGCATCAAGCAGCTTCATGGCTGTGAAAAATCTCCTGCCAGGCGGGCTGAGGCGCTGGTTGTTCGGTGATGTGTCGCATTTTGTCGCGGGACCTGACCCTTCCTCCGATTCAAAACACCACATTGAACAGACTGTCTGCGTTTGAACAGACTGAGAAAGGCATTCTTGAAAAGAAGGAAAAGAGCTGATGCCAGCACCACCCTAAGGGTGGTTTATGGATTCCCCCTACCATGTTTACTATCCAATAAACCTGTGGCTGGTGCTGGTAGAGGATGGATCAGGCATCGAGTGTAGCTTGACAGGCGAGGCACAAAATCCAGCTGCTCGTTCTGGTCTGCGCCCCTGATGCAGCAGTGCAACTCAAGAAGTTCTCGATTTGTCAAGATCTGAATGAATGTGATGGGGAAGCCAGGATGGTCCATCCTCATGTCAGTCCGTGAAGATCCAAATGTTTAAAAGCGGCCATTTTGGGTCGTCTGCATTAAGTCTAGCATCTTGATCTCGTCATGGCCAAGCCCCAACCCGACCCCCAAAAGGTTTTAGACCATCAATAAAACAAACAATAAGGAACAAGTTTGATGAAAATTGGATACTATTGGCAACCCCCACTTTTTTCATCTGCCCAGGCTCTGGTAGCCAGAGTGAAGAATGACTGCGTCAAGGTGGTCACCATATACTGGAGGGGCGTTGGCGGCGCCTTCCTTCCTTCAGTCGGTTACAATATATATATATATAATATATATCCTTGCCCTTACTTCTGATGCTCTCTGACTGCGGACCATTTTCTCCGCCCTGACATGAGTGTGACGAGTGAAGCGTCCCAAGCCATGCGAAAGAACTCGAAGTAGCACGGCAGCTTCAACCCGCCGAAGTGGGAAAAGATCGTGAATATATATGGGCTGGGACCTGATCAATTGGAGAGTGACCAACCATGTTCATGCGCTGCTTCGGCAGGGTTTCAGGGTGGCGTGACAGCACCGTGAACATCGGCAGATAGCTGTGCCAAACCAAACTCGCTAAGAATGAGAGATGAGCATCCCAACATCATTGTTGGACGCCAACATGCCCCACCCCTCCCGAGCCCGCCTATACTGCGGTGATATTCGAAGCAAGCCGGTTGAGCCCGGGCCGGGCGAAGAGACGGCGGGTGAAGAACCATCCACCCGGAGGACGGATTGGGCATTCGACATGGAAGGGAGGTCCGGTGATGCAAAAGCAGCACTCAATGAGGTGATGAATCACCAGGTTTACCTTGATTGTAGAGGATGGTCAACCCTTCCATTAAAACACAACGCGGGTCCGGACCGGGATCGGACCCGAGTGTCAACGGTCTAGAGGGGTCTCTTCTGCAATAGATGGGTCTCTGAATCGCGCGGTCTGTTCACCAAATCCTTCCCCGCCATGCACCGTCTGGTCTCCTGTTCAACGAAGTGGTCTCCTAAGTGGTCTCGTCCGCATCGTTTGATGTCTCGGGAGTCGTAGGGCCTGTCGCATGTCCGACTCACCCTGTGACCTTGTGGACTGTCCCATCGAATCGAAGACGGCGCTCCCAGGGCACTGGAACGCACATGCCACCTGAGCGGGGCAGAGTTCACGAGTGAACCAGATGGTCACATTTCAGAAGAGGGTGTGGCACATGCACAGCGTTCAAGAAAGCCTACCGTAGAGAGGACCCGAGAAGAAGAAGAAGAAGAAGAAGCTGCCAAAGAGTACCAAGAGGCAAAGAGGAAAGCTCTTCATAGACGCCAAGGTAACTCAGTGCTACCGCCGTATCGGCGAGAGATGGGACGAGACGAAAGCGACCGAAATGGCGCCATCTGAAGCAACATCGGTCAGGGCGCAGGGGATGTGGCATGAACGTTTGGGGAACCGAACACTCCGTTGTCTTTCATGCGAAAGAAAGCACACTTTTCGAAGACAGATCTGAAACTCGGTTTGAGATATGTCCCATTTCACTCGGGGTCGCTGAGGGCTTGAACGGTGTACCCCCCATTCCTCTGAAACAGGTCATCAATTCGCCAAAATCGGTCTGCGGCGCCTGCGCTGCTTTTTTACTCCTCGGAAAAACAGATCAGCTACCTTCAACTGGCACTAAGGCATAGGAAAGACGCTTCCTCACCTTCGCCTGGCGAAGAGTGCGCCACACTTCAAAAAGGACGTGGCGGCATGGTACCGTGTTGCGAGAAGGAATGGTGAGCTATTTCTGCTACGAGTCCGTAAGGAATTTGTGAGCTATTTCTGCATGGAGGGATATCATGTACTTCGACACCCAGGAGTCATGGGATTGCCCCCAAAGATGTTGACTGAGAATGCGCTCAATTCCTTGTAAGTCACAATGCTAAAGGGGACTTTGCGCATTTCAGGCTTTGGCATCGGTTTTGGAAGTTTCGGATGAAGGAATTTTTGTGGAAATGTTGTGACATCCATAGACACTTTCACTCTGAACATTTTATGCGAACAAAACTGCAAACCCTACATGGTCAAACCCTAATGATCCCAATAATTAGATGATTGGTTGGGGAGGCGAACCATGCTTTCTGAAACGACTTCTACATACTTCTGAGTCATCTCTTCATGCTCAGGACCTTTCAACATCCGAACGGAGACCCGAAGCTCAGGCGCCACCCGAACAGCCACACATGCGCCCACTGGCACCTGGAAACGGGCCATCTCCGCCATCGGTCCTCCGCCCCGGGACGCTCGACACCGTCAGCACCCCGCTCCCACCTCCACCATGGTGTTGTGGTGGGCATTGTGCATCGTGGGCTTGCTATACTTCCGAAGATCCAGTGCCTCACGGGCTTCCGGACCGGCGCCAATCGAGGTGCACCAACCGTGAACCAGAAAAGGGGAAGGTCCTTGTTCCACGCCGAACTCGTTCGATGCACAGGTTTTGAGCAATTCCCTTCCGTTCGACACCCGGCTGTACAACCAACCAACTACCACGACAGCCGCGGACGTCTTTGGTGCGTTCCGACTTCTAGGTACGTGAAGTAGAACCAACTTCCGCGTTCTATCATTCTTCCGCGTGTTTCTTCTGTCGGATTTGTTGGATTCTATGAGAGTCTGCATAGCGTGAATTGGTCGACGCCAACGCTGAGTAGCTTTTCATGACGCCAACGCCCGCATGATGAACATGCATGAACGATCGATGGTGTGGTGTTTTCCGTCCGCCCGCTGACGGTTCAAGACCGTCTCTGAGAAGGGCACCTTGAAGTAGTGGATGGTCTTCGTCAAGCCTTCTCTGAGCTGCACCTTTCCAAGTACGAACCGAAAGCTGAACTACAAATGCTGAAGGATGCTGAAGGGATCAGTAGAATCATTAGACGTACTAGAAATGGACAGCTTCCAGGCCAATGACTACCGCCCACAGCTTGGAAAGCGCCCTTCATCACGCCCATCAAAAAGCACCTTGGGCTCCCATTCCAGCAAGGCTTTCGCCCGGGTGATGTTGGGCCGACGCTGCTTTGGGTCGTCGCCGGGCAAAGGCAAGAACACGATCTTACCTGGGAGGCCCATGCGGCACCCGAAGTGGGACATCCCGGACTCTGGGAACAACAAACATTGCAGCCACATATGGCAGCCACATGTTGCGGCCAGGTCAATCAATGTCATCCCGGCCGCTTCCAAGGCCGACCCGACACAATTCTCTGGCCTGTGAAACATCATTGGGGAATGGTCACACAAAATCGTCAAATGAGCCTAGCTGTCCAAAAGGTGTTTCAGGACTGCCTAGCTGCGACCTGTCATCGCCAACTGCTATACTGCGGGACGTTGATCGACGCTTGGCTGCCAGCAATTGGGGGGACCACTGCATTGTATAATGTAATGATGAAGAGGTTTACTTTACAATCCAAATGGCCAATGGGATTGATCTAATCTAGATTCTACATGAACGGAACGTTCTACCACCTTCCTCAACTCAAGAACAACACGCAGCAGCTCACTTCCTGCGTGAAACGAAGCACGGCGCACTCCCCGCAGCGACGCCGACCAGTTCGGGACCAGCAGAGGGGTCTCCCAGGTGCTGCCGGGGAGCAGAGGATGGAAACGGATGTGATGTGACTGATGTGATGTGTGGAAACGGGTCAGTTGGTCACACGACTCAAGGGGGTCAGTTGGACCAGGTTGAGCAGATTCAGGACTGGACTTGCATCGAACATCGAAACCAGACCCTTCTCGGCCGCCTTCACTCCAGACCGGTCAGGTTCAGCGGTTCACTCCAGACACGGGGTCTCACATCTTTGGGAGCTTTTGTGCCTCCCAAAAACGGGTCTTCCCAGCTCCCATCCGTCCGTCTTCCTTAAAAAAGGAGCTTTTGGATCCCGTCAGCTCGATGATCATCTCCGCCAACTCCTCACCGTTCAGAAAACCGCCACGCCAAGAAGCAAACAGCACCATGGAGGCCACCCAAAAAAGAAGAAAACCCTACACATGTGACACCCATTCTTTAAGGATCATCAAGCTGCACCTGTCTTTCTTCCGGCCCAGCCAAAGGTGGCCCACAGCTGTCATTTCGATAAGAAGCGATTGGATGCTCCGCGAGAAGAAGCGATTCATCATCTTCTTCAACTTCACTCACTGCAACAAACAATGACCAAATGCACAAAATGACCATCACTCCCGCCGTGTTTTTTTGGCCGTTTATTTTCCTAGTTGCAAGACACACCCCATTTGGTATCGTCTCTTCCAGGAGGTCTTTTGGGTGTCTTCATCTGTTTAATACGCCCACGTAAACATCCTCAAACATCTATGACCCATACGGTGTCTCCATGGACTCGGACCTTTGAAGGTGTGTATCCTTCACGGTGAACTCGTTGGGATTGCCAATGTTCACCGGCCCAATGGTGGCTTCCTTGGGTTGGAAAGCGCCAGGCCGGCGACCAAGAGATGCTCACAGGATCAGAGCAGTGCCACAGGATCAGACCACTCCTCTTGAGTCACAAACCCCTGCTTCCCTGATAAACATCAAGAGACGTGCCAAAGTGATTCGTCTATCAACACATGTTCACTCACACTGATTGGGGGGCTGCTCTTCAGTTCCTCTTGCTACACATCCCATATCACCAGAGATGCCTCTCTAGGTGTGCGCTTGTTCATGTGCTTTTCTGAGATCTGCGCTTGGTTCATCAGTCGAATGAGCCCATCCACGGTGTCGTCCACGTAGCCAAAGGATCTCGTCTGCGAACCATCGCCATAGATGGTGATGTCCTCGGGCGTTCCGGGCGTCAGGGCTGGTCCCATGGAACCTTGGACATCGAAAAGAACATCGGACATCCTCAGATTTGGGGGATTTGTCTACTTGGTGGAAAGGGGTGAGTCACGTCATGTCAGGCGATCTTGGTTCTTCATCGCCAACCGCCAATGTGGATCGGATTGGGAAATGGTCAGTCCATTCGGTCCTCCCCATGGAGGGCTTGCAGGATGAAGTTGCTCACCACACGGCCATCATAGGGATGCATACCTCGTTTTCAAGGATGGATGTACAGGGTCGACCAAACTGAAAACTTCCACTCACTCAGAGAAGTCTGTCGGTTTCTGAGTAAAGCTCATCTCAGTGGAAAATATTGGAAAATAACTATCTTCGTTGAGGATTCTTCTACTGCCGCTTGAAGACTACATGCCGCCACCTATCTCTCTCCACAATGATCCAATTTCAAGATGCAAAACCGAAACAAAGAAACCTGCAGATTGGGTTTCCATGGGTGTAACAAGTGCATCGCTACTAGTAACAAGGGCATTACTAGTAGTAGCTAGAAACTACTAGTAACAAGTGCATGGCTACTAGTAACAAGGGCATTGCTACTGGTAGCTAGAAGCTGCTAGTAACAAGTGCATTGCTACTAGTAACATGCGCATTACTACAGCACCAGTAACAAGTGCATTGCTACTAGTAGCAAGGGCATTACTACTAGTAGCATCTAGTAGCTACTAGAAACAAGCGCATCGCTACGAAAGTAGCAAGAAAGAAACCGGGAGACCCCATGGGACCTCCGAGAAGGAACCTCTAACACGTGTTGGACATACGTCCTGCAAAGCACTGAAAAGCTCCCAGAAGACAAGGGAATCCACTACAAACAACCTTGAGGACTTAAATTCGATGGTTGGATAGTGATCCCAAACAAAAAGGAATGGATAGAATTGATTCGTTTGGAACGTGTATCACTTGCTTTTCCTTTATTCGCCCAAAAGGTCGCAACCCGGTCTCAGACCGGCCTGGCCCATAGGTGTTGAAGATCCGTGCGACGCGGATGTCTACGTTGTTGCCTTGGATGGGCGTAAACATACACCCGATCAACACACGTGTTTGAGAACACCCGATCGCCTTCAGGGAAGACCATTCAAAAGAATAGTTTACCTGGTTTTGCAGTGTAAAATCCTTAGTAAAACAATAATGGTTCTTTGGGATTCAGACCATGAAATCAATGGTTGTTGGAATCCTGGGGAACATGAAAACCAAATCACCCCAGTCGGAGTCCATTGAACACCCCTAATCACCAATAAGAGGCCCCAAGACAAAAGAAAAATAAATAAACCGAGGGGTCTAACTATCTGTAACCATGTACCGAGTTTTTATAATTAGTACAAATGTTGAAGAGTTATGTAGTAGTGTAGTGATCTGAACAAAGATTCTCTATCGGTGCTCCCGGATCTGTTCCTGCAATATGCCAGGTTGCTGCGGAGGTAGTCGAACGCCAACGTCTCCGCGACACGTTTACCCTCATCATAGCAAGACCTAAGTGTTGACTGGTGAGTGGATTACCTAAGGACAAGCACCGCAATCTTGCTCTAGGTTCCAATATATATATATAGTTATAACTAAGTATATATGTATAATGTGGTAGGGACCTTTGGGGTTCATTTCGCTCGTGATAGAATGTGTACCCTTGACGAACCTTCCCAGCTGCTCACATCGTGAAATCGAATAGGATTATGTATAAACTACCTGCTATAATATTTGTGCTCCTTCATTGGTATAAAGATTGATCATATTAACATTATCAATCATCAATTTGCAAATAGTGTGAAAAATTGATCATAAACATCTTGTTCCTATCCTTTTCCAGAAGATTAATATCTAAAAACATATGTGGCTGTTCAGTGGCTGTTTCATAAAGTTTATATAAGACCTGCTTACTTTCTTGGATATTGTTTCTTTTCTTCTAGGTATTGCTGATAGTTCTTTTTGAAACAGTTCTATTTCTTTAAAGTTGCTGACCTTGTAGAAGAATAGGTGTGTGGCATTAACTCTTATCAGTGTGGTCAGTGCATTAAATTTGTGAACAGATGTTATAACACTAATACCATTGTGTCTACCTCTTACATAAAGGGAATCAAATATGTTTGAATATCTTGCTATTTTGGGATCATCTGCTATATCATCCAAGACTATTAGGATTGTTTTTTTTATTTATGTTTTTTTAACTGTATTCAGTTATTCTATGTTGTGTTTCAATGACTTTCATTAAATCTTCACTGTGAAAGTCTTCAAACAAAACCTGCTCTTTACCAGTGTTCACTTTCATTTCTTCCTTTATGTATTTCTTGACTGGCAACCAGATGCTATCAACATTTATTGAAGGTGACCAGATATACACCCTTGAAAAACTTCCTTGTAGGTGTCCATATTCATGTTTGTTAGTAGCACTGATTTGCTACTACCAGACGGACCGGTTATGATTGATCTAAAGGGCACTTTAGAGGCAACAGCATATTTTGATTGAGTGAATTCATAATTGATTTCTTTGATAGGTTGAATATGTGGTGCGGTGTTATTATTCATCTATTAATAAAAATACATAGAAAACATTATTAAATATTAGCAGATCTCCTATGGACAGAGTGCGGTAGGTGAGGCTACGCTAATCCGCATAAGTCGGTAATTAGTTTGCTTTTCAGCAATGGATTTTTTGCCCTTACAGTTGAATTCGTTTTTAGTGTTCTCCCAAGCACTACATAATTAGATGGTGTTAAAGCATTATCTAATTATAGTTATATATTATGACGCTATCTGAACATGATGCTTATATAACAGGAAGAGATGATATGGAAAAAAATGATAGTGCTAAATATCCAGTTGTTAAAGATAATAAACTTAAGCAGTGTTGTAAATACTCACTGGAAATGTCAAAATTGATAATTACTTATCTAAAATGTAATATTATACATGCCACCAAAAAAGACAAAAAAACAACAAAGATGAATAAAACACAAATCCCCGAAGAGTTTGAACTAGCAGATGAAGAACCAACAACAATAAAACTAGATGAAGAACAAAAACTAACAAGCAAATTCATTACCTTTGACTGTCCTTTATGCCAGGGAAAACTACAACTGAGAATGAAATTGAAATCAACACTAAAGGCAAAAAGTGTAAGTGTAATCCATATAGCTTTAAAATCAGCAAGAGTGATAAGATAAGACTATGAAAGTTTCAAACGATGATGGTGGATCTATTACTTTAGATAATACTGATAAAATGGATGAGCTGATAAAGAAAATGAACAGATATAATAATAGTCTTAAATTGATCTTACAGTTGTTAAAAACCATTGATGAAAAGACTAATGAGAAAAAATGATTTAAGGAAAATGGAGAAGCATCTGAAAAGAAAAGCATAGGTAGACCAGTAGGGGACTTTGAAACCAAAAGGAAGCAGTATTTAGAAATGTTGAATTCAAAAATAATAAAGCAACCTAAAGAGACCACCATACAATGTTACAAAATTGATTATGATGAAGACACTGAAACATACTCATGATAATATATTTTCTATGACAACATATTATTATGAAATTATAACAATTATACAGGTTCACACTTTGATGGCACACAGGAATCGAGACAATACATGGCATATATGCATTTTTTGATGAAACACATCGAGGATCTGAAAGGGCCATGTGTGCTATCATAGTGGTCAGTTGATGCTTGGGGGGATCGGCATTGTAATCTACTAGAGCCGTTTGGCTGGTATGCCATCTTATTGTTTGTTGCAGGCCTTAAGGGTGTTGTCCTCTGTTTGCTGGTCTCTCTCTCTCTCCCTCTCTCTCTCTCTCTCTGTCGACGCTTTCCAGTTCTCCCACACCAGAAACTCAGTTTCCGCAAAGAACCTTTTCCATCCAGCAGCCCCAAGAGTGTCATGCACTGTAGGTGTCCTGTTTGTATAGTTTCTTTCCTTTGCTCCTTCTCTTGGACTTCATTCCATTTGCTGGATTCTAGTATGAGACTAGCTCGCTCTCACTCTCACTCTCTCACTCTCTGTAACTCCCTCTCTCTCTCTCTCTTTGTGTGTAGTGTGCCATCTTAGCGTTCCTATGTTCAATTCATTTCATTCTTCTTCCCTTCCTCACTCCCTGCCTCTTCTTTCCCTTTTGCTTTGTGCCCTGCTCTCGCAGCGGACCTACCATTGTTGTATATAATGGTCCTCTCCATTCGGTATGCTGTTCCTGCGTTAGTGCATATCATTTCCTCACGTGCCATCTTAACGTTCCTATGTTCAATGCATACCACTCTTTCCTCGCATCCTTTCAACTGCCTTTATCCTTGCCGTTCTATTTAGTATTCTTTTCATGCCCTTTAGCCTGTTTGGACATACCTCAATTACTTGCCAGGGGTTCCAGGACGTCCTTAGTTATGTTAGTTCCTCTCTCTCTCTTTCTCTCTCCCACCGCGGCTCCCTGAACAAAGGCTTAACCAAGATCAAATAAGGTAGCCTGTGCAGCAGGCGCCTTATCTCATCTTATATACGTATATATATATATATATTATATGTGTGTTTTTTTGGGGGTGTCCTTTCCTGTCTGTATAGTTTCTTTCCTTTGTTCCTTCTCTTGGACTTCATTCCATTTGCTGGATTCTAGTATGAGACTAGCTCACTCTCACTCTCACTCTCTCACTCTCTGTAACTCCCTCTCTCTCTCTCTCTCTTTGTGTGTGGTGTACCATCTTAGCGTTCCTATGTTCAATTCATTTCATTCTCCTCCCTTCCTCACTCCCTGCCTCTTCTTTCCCTTTTGCTTTGTGCCCTGCTCTCGCAGCGGACCTACCATTGTTGTATATAATGGTCCTCTCCTCTCAGTATGCTGTTCCTGTGTTAGTGCATGTCATTTCCTCATTCCCTTCCTCCCCCTCCCTCCCTCTCTCCCTGCTTGCCTTCCTCCCTCTCTTTTACTTTTCTTTTGTGAATGCAACCCCAGCACTCTCAAAGAACCCCGCTCTCACAGCGGCCCTGCCATTGCTTCAGTGTATTGGTATGTCATTTGAGTGTTCCTATTGTCAAAGCTCAATTTTGCGCTGAAATCTTTAATCTTTGATGGCATATTTCAACCATTTTACTTGTGCCATCATTTCGTGAACCCCTATATTGTCAGGCACAGGTAGTGTTGGAAGAATTGTTAAAGAACTTGGTTATACTATTATATCACTTGATCTTAAAAATGCTAGTATCAATGAGGATATTTTGAAATTTGATTATAATAAATTTGACAACGACTTTGATGTTACTTGGTCATCCCCGCCTTGCACTGAATACATCATAGCAAAACAAACAGGCACTAGAAAAAATTGATGAAGCAAATGAAACAGTGAAGAAAGCTATTGACATAATAAACTATTTTGATCCAAATGTTTTCGTTGAAAACCCCCCAGACCGGACTTTTGAAGGAGCAAGAGTTTATGAAAAACTTCGTTTTTTGATGTTGATTATTGTAAAGATGGAATGGCATACAGAAAACGCACCAGACTTTGGACAAATATAAAAACTTGGACACCTAAACCATTATGTAAAAAGAACTGCGTACAAATGGAAGGGAATAGGCATAGGGAAACAGCACAAAGGGCACCTAGCAATAGGAAGGAAACATGGTCTGAAAACTTGAAAACTATACATTGTTTAATCAGAAGGAATTATACATAATCCCAGAAGAGTTGATCAGATAAATATTTATATAATGCTATAAACTAGATATTTACTATTCTAATTTCTTCTATGAGAGACCAATGGGGGATGTTCACCTGACCAATACTTAAAGGGATAGTAGCAATAGGTACTAAGGAGATGAAAGGTGATAAGTTTGAGAATGTGTATTGTCAGGTGTGTGAGTGCAATGTGAGGAAAAGTGGATGGGGGAAGCATAAGAAAACAAATACGCATATTGAGAATGCTCAGGGTGGAGGTGAGGAAGTGGAGAAGAGAAGGTGTGGACAGTGTGGATGTAATAAGGAATTGGGAATGTTTAATGAAAAGAATGCGACTTGTAATGTGTGCTTAGACAGATGGAAAAGGTGGGTGGGGAGGAATGTTGAGAAGAAGAAGGAGATTGATAGAGCTTGGAGAGAGGAGAATAGGGAGAAGAAAAACTAATATGATCGGGAATATAGTTTGATTGAGATGTGGTGTGAGGTATGTGCGTGCAAGGTGAGAAAATGTAAGTGGAGAAGACATATTGAGAGTAGGAAGCATAGGATGGGTGGGGAGTGGGGATGATGGAAAAGATGGTGTGGGGGGAGATGGGGGAAGGGTGGTCAGGTGAACATCCCCCCTTGGTCTTCCCCTACTAACATATCTGAAAATGGAGAGAATATCGGACTCGCTCAATAGGATTACAGGATCACATCTTCTTCCGTGTTTCAACACCAGTAGAGGCCCCGATCCTTCCAATCATTCATGTGATCCATAGAAACGCATTCAAATCGCATGTTTAACTGTTGTGTTTGGCCCGAACTCCCCCACAA